ATTGTATAGGGGAAAATCAGTCGTCATGGAAACTAAGGGAGTCAAGGTCATGGGTGCTACTAATTAGAGGATTAGAGGGGAATGAGGTAACTGATCATAGTGTCTGGTTCTGGAATCAGCCATGGAGCTATCCTGTCTGGTCTGTGACTTGGTCTGGTGACCTGGTCCCAGAACCTAGATAGGTAGGGTTGTTGTTCTGCTTCAAGGGACTGAAACACATCTAAAGCCAAGCTGATATCCTTAGTCTAAAGTCCAAGGGAAACCTACTGTCCTCATGATTACAGGCCTGAGGCTCCGTTAATCTTATGGCCTAAGGCTTATTGATTAAAGGAGCAGGCATATAGAGGATGGGGCCCGAGGAAGGCAAGTGAGTCACAATGCCATTATCTGGGCAAAACCAGCTTGAGAAAAACACTATATTAAAGAAATGAAGTATGTGTGTGGCTACACTAGATATGAATATTTTATGTTTGTAGGTCCTATATAACTGTAAAACCAATATACATTTATAAATCAAATATAAACAAAACTACCAAACTAATAAAATTCAAATGAACAACACTGATTTAATGTGAGGGAAGATGTTTTGCTGAAATGAAGTTGCTGCTTGCAAAAGGACATGGGGTGGATGTTTTTGGTTTCAGGACTGTACATAGTTGTGATGCAGGACAGGGCAAATTTCCCCGAGTTGGTGGGGGAGACCAAGCCCTTCACCGAGAGAAGAGGGTCCTTTGGCAGAAAGTATGGAAAGATTTCAACACACACCCAACGTGAGAGTCAAAAAGAAAGTTGATTAGAAAGGAGGTGACGCTGCACAGACAGTGTGGTCTCCTCTCAGAGGCAGAGAGTGAGAGGGACAGTGAGAGGGACCCTGACTGTTTGGAGAATTTTGTTTATCATTCTGTAGAACCTGTGAGTTATAGTTTAAAAGACTTTGTTAACTCTTTTCCTTTGACACAGGCGGATGTACAGTGAGGAAAGAGAAGAGTATGCTGCGTGAAAAGGTGAGAATATGTAGAGGGAAAGCCCTGCTGGCAATTCCTAACCTTTAATCCATAGGTTCCCCATGGTTTTAGCCAAAGGGAATGACTCTTGGTTCCTGCTTCCCCTGGACAGGTGTGGAGAACATCGATGGGTCGGTCTAGCAATCCCAGCACAAATCTTCCTTTGTTCTGCACATGTCCTCCTGGCCGGGCTGCAGGGCTGATCAGTATATAGCAGTCTCTGATTGTGGCTTGATTAACATTTTTGATTCTCTTGCCTCCTCCCTACATTAGTTAGGAGACAGTTCTCCCACCATTTTTCTCTAAAAACTCTCCAGAAGGTCCTCCTTTGTCCAGTGTAATGTCACTTCAGTCGGTCTTTGCTTGGCAAGAGCTCACTGTCAATGATGTGGTGCCAAGGGGAGCAGCATAAGCACAAACTGAAATGGTTGACCTCGAAATTGTGACTGGGGTTGCTTTCAAGGTGATTATCTAGATCAGTGGCTGTCAACCCTGGCCTCACTTTGGAATGCCCATTAAAATGTAATTAAATTAGCAGTCTCTCAGGGTGGGGTATTAGTATTTCTTTAAAGCTTTCTAGGTGATTCTAACATGTGACAGTACTGAAAACTACTGATTTTGATGATCCAGAAAATGCTTATAGTTGTTATTCTTTATAGTATAATCCAAAAGAACACCAAATTCACGCATTCTTATAAAGAATATGAGGTACTCTGAGAACATGGCAGTGAACACTCAGGGGTTTGAGAAATTTGGTTTGGAGTTTGATTCCTGGGTCTAGTTGTGTAGCCTTAGGCAACTTAAACTCCGAGGTTTAGTTTCTCATTATGAAAAGAAACCAAGAATAGTACCTACCTCATAGGGCGTTTGTGAGAATTAACTGAGAAAATAATTTATAAAGTGCTAAATATAATTAATGCCTTGTTCCTGGTGAGTGCTTACTAAATGTCAGCTCTTTTTTATTATTAACTATAACATCAATAACCATCTGGAAACTACTAAAACATTTTCTGGGCAGATGTGAGCCACAAGAAAGAAAGCTGATAGGGGAATAGGTTGCTGGGCAGACTTTGTAAGGAAGGGCATATGGCAGCCTTCGATAGGTGGGGCAGTGAAGGCGATGGTGATGGTGGGTTCATTAAGGGTATAGGCCTGCCCTACCTGCCTAGAGTGGGTATAAGGCATTAATAAATCATTAGGTTTCTTCTAAATTGTTGCTTCTACATTTTTATGAAAAAGACTCTACTTCCTTTCCCTGAAAAGGCTGTCCTGTGACATCTAAGCAGTTGATGAGGTTGACACAATGATAGAGCATGGCTCTACTATTGCATGTGTAGTAGGATGTCGTAAGCCTGTTCTCGAACAAATCCAGCTACTTCCTGTTTTAATAGTACAATAGTCTCCCCGCCCCCTTATCCATGATTTTGGTTTCCACTGACTCAGTTACTCATAGTCAACCATGGTCCAAAAATATTAGATGGAAAATTCCAGAAATAAATAATTTGTTAAGTTTTAAATTGCACATGGTTCCGAGTGGTGGTGATGAAATCTCGTGCAGTCCTGCTCCAAGGACCTGAATCATCCCTTTGTCCCCTATCTCCATGCTGTACATGGTCCCCACCCATTAGTCACTTAGTAGCAGGCTGGGTTATCAGATTGACTGTCTAGTATCACAGTGCTTGTGTTCGAGTCACCCCTATTTTACTTACTCATGACTCCAAAGCACAAGAATAATGATGCTGGCAATTCGGACATGCCGAAGAGAAGCTGTAAAGTACTTCCTTTAAGTGAAAGGGTGAGTACAGTACAGATATTTTGAGAGAGAAACAAATGAAGACCACGGTCACACAACTTTTATTACAGTATATTGTGATAATTGTTCTATTTTATTATTGTTGTTGTTAATCTCTTACTATGCCTAATTTAGAAATTAAACTTTATCATAGGTATGTGTGTATAGACAAAAACATAGCATATATAGGGTTTGGTACTGTCCGTGGTTTCAGACATCCCTAGGGGTCTTGGAACATATCTCCCACGAATGAGGGGAGACTAGTGTATCAAAAATTTTGATTTTATAAGCCTCTTAAGGGACATAATTAACTTAGGAAATAACAATTCTTAAAAAAACACAGAGAAAATCCCAAGATATTCTTATGTAATAATTGGCAAGTCCTTAGGCCTGAAATACTATTCTCAAAAGATTATGTCAGGCATAATATTTTAGTAAAATAGTAATTTTCAAATTATCTTTACCGAGGTGTCGCTTCCATGGACTCCCCCCACCTTTTCCAGGTTTATCATTGCTTATTATTTCCTCTCATATAATTTCCCCAGAACATTTTTTCTTACTTGCCTGATTTAAAGCTTTATAGATTTGTTTTATAGTTCAGGTTTTTAAAGAGATGGCTGTGATTGAGATGAACATTCAGTGAGGAGATGCTGTGGTGTTTCAGCTTCTACATTTCAAACTTAAGGGACTTCTTTAAAATGGACACAAAAACTTCACAAAAGCTTCTGTGGTGACAGCACTGGGCCTTTAGGGCTAAGCTCTAAGCAGAATGAGAAAACAAAGAGTTATATTGTAACTTGCTTGGTTAATCCAATTTATTCACATATTTAACCGCAGTCAGCATGTAGTCGTTTTCCTCGGAGGCCCACTTTCTAAAACAAAATTTTCGAAATGTCCTCTTTCCCCACAAGGCCTCCTTGGGTTGTTAACCCTTTTGTTTGCTAGGGTCTCTCTCCTATAGTTACTTGCCATCCTAGCAGGACCTTGGTTGCGAATGGACTCTATGAGCCTGTTTTGGTGGCATGCTGGCCGAAATGAATAAACCCCAGAGCTCTCCTGTATCAAAAACAATACAGGATCACACTTGTTTATATGGCTGCCTTCTAATTTAAGAAATCGTCAGACACTGAAAACAGCTGACTGCAGGGCAACATCACCCCTTCAACTGAGGAGCCCTCAGTGTTTATTTCCTGGAGAACACAAAGAAGAGAGTATTGTTTTTCAGGTATCTGGTGACTTTTGTAAAACATTTATCTTGGAAATCAGTACAGTGGTTCTTACCTACTCCCTGTTTTCATTATTACTGTAATTAGTGGGTTTAGGAATTTAGTTAGATCAATGTAATGAGTAAAAAAAGGAGTTCACATATCTAATAAAGTCTCTTCCTCCTGCCTATTCTGAGTTTCATTTTCAGTCCAAGAGAAAACGAAATACTTCTTACCCACTAGTGGTTTCAAACATTCCTCCTAGCTTATTGTGTTAGCACAGTACAACAAACTCACCCTCCAGGTAGGACGCTAACTTCCCTTACTGGTACCTGTGTCCATCTCCAGCCTGTTTGTAAATTTCCTGTAAAAATGTGAGATTTTTATTCCTGCCTGGTTAGCAAAGTGATCCACTTTTCCTTCCAAATAGTATTTTATGTAGGATGAGATTGTTGTGGGCAAGATGTTTTCCCAAAGATTTCCAGTGTTTCAGAATCCCACCTCCGCCTCTTTTACTCGCGTTAACAAGTGGGTATATTTACTGGGCCTTGGTTTATAAGCTCTTGAAATTTCTGCAGGTGAAGTGTATTGTCATCAATGTAAAGTCATCTTTTACATGTTGCTGTTTACCTTGGAATTCAACTGGTTTCTTTCCAGATGTTTAAACAATTAAGTTTTAAGTTATGTTTCTTGGCCATTTTTATTTTGTACTCAGCAGCAAGAAAAATGTCTTAATAAAGGATTAGTAAATATGCTTACACCAGGCCAGCTTTTATTGCAACAACTTGAATGTTAAATATATTTCCATGTTTTTAAATCCAGGTTTTATTTATACTGTGAATTTTGATTTTTCAGTCAAAACTAAGTATTTGCTGACAGCATTGTTTTCAGTATTGTCCACTGACTCCTAAGGAATATTTGCATTGTACTCCTAAGAAATAATGTTTATATAATAATAAAGAATAGGTTTAAAATAAAAAAAATGCTTACACTAGAAGATGAAATCAAAGGGTAGTTTATTAAAAAAGAATTAAAACAGAAACTCTAAGTACCAGTGTGTACATTGTACACATTTAAATGACTCACAAGAATGAAGTTTTTTTTTTTTTTCATATACATTAAGATCACACCGCCCTGTTTATCAAAAGATGTTCAAGGAGAAATCTGACTCCAAACTGCATCGCCATCTTCAAGAGACCACATTTCAAACATGCAACAACGCCACTGGTAATAAAGCTTTGGAATGGGTGCTCATTCTATTATTTCACTACGAACAGGATAGAAAGCAAGATAAGATGGGAATTTTTTCTAATAGAATGGATGCTGTCATCGTGTACACCAGCACTCCTCACTCCTCTGCTGCCATTTTCACCAAGTACTCCTTATCAATCTTGAAGAGTCTCCATCCCTCCTCACTGGACAGATCAGAAGCACCTCTTCTTTTGTAGAAGTTGATAGAAGGTTCATTCCATTCTGCTACCAAGAAGTGCATGCTGCTGCAGCGACATTTCATAGCAACCTGTTATATGTAGGGGAGAGTAAAATGCAAACTCAGTGACATTTCACCCGTTTTCCAAGACCCACTTTTGATTCAGTCATTAAAATAATCCAGTAAGTCTTATAAATTCAGAAACCCCAAACCAAGACATACCTGGCTTAGATTCTTCAGAATTTCTGATCCGATTCCAAAACCTAAAAGAAAGAGAAATACCATTTAAAAGTTTATTTGAAGGACTTCAAGCCCTCCCTTTAGAGCCACCCCCCTGAACTCAAGCATACCTCTATAATCACTCATTACGAAGAAGTCCTCAAGATACAAGAGTTTGCCAATCCATGGGTCATAGGTAAAATAGTACATGGCAAAACCAACAATGCTGTGTCCTGTAATAAGAATGTCACATGAGCTATGGATGAAAAATATCCATAGTTGTAGCTGCAAAATCAGAACCCTATCATAGGTTTTCAAGAATATACATGCACGTATTACAGAAATAAGTAGCCACTGAACTGGACTGCCTCCTGACTTTTAGGCTAGTGCAGTCCAAGGCCACAGTTGGACGATCTCACTGTTCCAAGAATATGTATTAGCAAAAAGCACACAGTAGAGCTGCCTGAAGCCAGGCTAAAACCGTGGACTGGCCACTCTGCAACCTGCTGGATCTCATACTCAGGAAGCGAGAATACTTTCATTACTTGCCAGAGCAAAACTGCTATGGTCTTAAACTAAACACACACATTATTCACATCCTATTGATATATTTGTATGTTGACTTGGGAATAAAGTTTACACGGCAGTTCAGAATAGTAAATATTTGTTGTTTAGAAACTCTGCTTCCTTAAGGTCAGGACATTAGGCCAAAAGTGTAATGTTTAATTTCAGAACTTGCCTTCCAATTAAGAAATTTTTCGATTTGCTCTCCCCAGTTTTTAAGCCAGAAGAAGCAGAGGTATCCAGAAACAGGTATTATGTAACATCCACATACTTTTAAAAAGTACCTCATCCCTATTTTTCTGCTCATTTCTTCTAGCTTGGGGAACAGGCATCGGAAAAAAACTTATGCACCCAGCCAAATAACTTCCCCTTTTAACTCTGTCTTCTGACCAGTCAACAGGGACCAGCAAAATAAAATCGGACTCCCTTTTATTGGGTGTCTGTAACTTCAAATGGAGGCAAAGGTTTCAAATTAAACTTTCTTGCCATTTTATAGTCCTCTGCAAACACAGGAAGCAAGTAGAATAGTTTCTGATCTACCGTGTTTTAAGTGTGTGATAATAGGGCCTTACCTCATTTTTATCATGATCATCTACTTTATTGGGTAAAGGATCTTTTAGTTACCTCCCCGCCCATCCATGTACACGGAAGGGCCATGTACATGGCGAAGCTAGAGACTGTAACCTGAAGATTGGGACAAATTAAAGAAAAAAATGTGATTTAACACGATTACAAAAAAGGTTACGTTAGGGTCAAACAAAGAACCATTTATGAAACTGAATTACAACAAATGACATACCTAACTCTTCCGGTCTCCACAGCACTGATACTTACTTAAACAGCAATTTTTAACCCGCCCTATTAAGTGCAGCACGTCTACTTTTTTTTTTTTTTTTCCTCAGTAGTTTGAACACTGGCTGGCTATTTCTGGCCAATTTCTCAATAAGTAACCTCGGCCTGTGTTGTCAGTGGTTCTACACGGCAGACACTACGTTTACACACTAGGTCTCTGGCTTCTGGGACCGGAGGGCGGTTACCTTCCGGAGTGCGGTTTTCTTTGGGCACTTCTGCCACCAGGCAGTGGTAGAAGGGGTGCTCTCCGAAGCCATCCTCTAGCAGATCTGCAAGACAGGGCAACAGGGACAGTGTTGGCGTGGTGATGGTGACAGGCACCGACGCTCGTCCCCTGCTCCGCCACTGTTGCGTTACCTTTTTCAGTTAATATTACTTGTTCTTCCATGTATTCATATTTAGCCAGTTCCTGGGGCGATGCACATGGGAGAAAGGGAGAGAAGCAAAAAAACTAAGTGAGGCCCCGGTCAGCCCAGAGGGAATGGGGTGGGCGGGGTGGCGTGGCGATTAGTTCCCGGAGCCCGGCCCGGAGCAGGGCTGGGGGAGGCGGGCGGGGAGAGGAACTAGCCCGAGACGCGGACTCAGCCGGAAACAGAGCCACCGCCCCTTTCCCCCGCCGCCCACTTCGCCCCGGGAAGGGCCTGAGCCTCCCGCTACCTTGATCAGCCGCAGGATGTCACTGCAGTCGTCGGCGGTGGCCGGGCGGATCACGAATTTAACCATTTTCGTCTTTTGCTTTTCTTCCCTTTGCGGACCAGGCCCCTGTATTTGAACAGCAGGAGAAGGTGGTTCTTCATTCGTCTCCCGGGAGCGTCCTCTTCTCAGTCAGGCTGGCACCATGACCCAGGGAACCTCGGTGGACAACGAGAAAACGCAAGCTACTGCAACTGAAGAAGCTACGTGCGCTGGAGCCGCTGTCGAGCCCGGCTTTTTAGCACGAAGAAGCCCCACCCTGAGCCGTGAGTCGGCGGCGCATCGTCCAATGAGGCTGCAACCGCCCCCGTCTTCCTGGTGCCGCCCTCTCTTCCGGCACCCGTGTGAACCCGGGAGGCGCGAGCCGGGGCCGAGAGGGGCGCGCCGGTTCCCCAGCGGCGCCCTCTAGCGGCGTCTCGCGGAGCCTTCCCGGAAGCCCGACGTCAGAGCCTAGGCGTCCCCAGTCACCTTTGCAAAATAGGAAGAGAGGTTCCTCTTATGGCCACCGACCGGTGACCTTGCTGTTTCCTCTTTGGCCCGTCAGAAAAGGAAACTCAGGAGACTTGGCCTTGGGCAATGGGGGGATTGGAGCAGCGGTTCTAAAAGTGGGGTTTGGGGGACCCTTTGGGTTCCAAGATCCTTTCAGGGAGTCTGTGTTAAATCAAAACTAGTTTCATAATAATACTAAGACGTCATTTGCCTTTTTCAGTCTCACTGGAATTTTCCAGAGGACAACTGATGTGCGATGAAGTCACCGTTCAGATGACTAAAGGAATGAATGGGTGCTTGTATATTCTTGTGTTTTTTAGAATTTCCTAAGGAAAGCTATTTGGATTTCTCAATATTTTTTTTCCTCCTATACAGTACTTCTAGTTTTTAGAGTTAACAGAATGTTTTCTTTTATACTTTTCCCCTCCTTCTTAAAATTTTCTTACATCTCAGGTTTTCTTTGTGGAAATACTCCTGCCTGAGGTACACTCTTCATAATTTCTTTTAATGAAGGTCTGCTTTTTTTTTTTTGAATTTTTATAAGAATTTATTTGAGCCAAACTGATGACATATGCCAGGGAGCTAGATCTCAAAATGCTCCTTGAAGGTCTGCTTTTGTAAAATTTTCTGTTTTGTTTTTCTAAATATGTCTTTAATTCATCTTAAAATTCTTGAAGGATTTATTTCACTGTTTATAGAATTCGAGGTTGCAAGTTATTTTCATTCAGCATATCGATGATCTCTGACTATCTTCTGACTTCCATTGCTGTTGAAAGTAGTTGTAATTCCTACTTGCTCCATCATCTATGCTTCTTTTTTCTCTTTTAGAAAACTTTTATTTTGAAATAATTAGAAATTTACAGGATGCATGATGACATCATTGCTCTGGTGACTAAAGGAATGTGTCCTTGTATATTATGTTTTCCTGGAACTTTTGAAGGTAAACATTTTGGATTTGTAACCGCGCAAATCTTTACTTCTTTAAAATGGCTTTATTTTCTCTTTCTTTTTGATTTAAACCAGCTTTGGGCTCACTTGCATCTTTTCTTTCCTTATCTTTCTGCATACAGCACAACTATTCCCTTCATCATTAAGCTCTTAGGTGAGCATCAAGCAGTCTTAAGAGCAAAGCCTGAGGTCTGTTGACCACAGAAACAGAGTTTCAGGCAAACTAAAGATAACAGCTTGCTGCTCCACAGGCATGAGGGCAGGTGACCCTACCAGCATCCCCTTGAAACCGGACAGAATGACGCCCTGACTGACGTCAGGACCTGATGCAATGATCGACTGCCCCTACCCCAGCCCCGACCAGTCAGTAGAGCCCATGACCCCGACTCCCTTAGCTACTCCGATTAACGAGTTTTTCCCTATAAAACCTATCCCCTAGAGACCACAGGGGAGCCAGGTCTTTGAGCACTAGCTCACCCGTGTCTCCAGGCTTGGCGCCATTTCCTTAAGTAAACCTCTACTTTCTTTGCTGCAAACTCCTGTCCTTGTCTCTTTTAGCTATTGATGCATGCAGGCAAAACGAACCCCTCGAGTTCGGTACCAGATTGTTCAGTAATTTTTAAATGTCCTGAGAGCAAACTGTTTGAGAACAGTAGGATTAGAGTGTAGCTGTACCTGGATTGTATCCACTGGAACAAGTATTCAAGTCTCTTGCAGATAGTTTCTTTTACAACCTACCTTCCCAGGCAGACCTTCCTGATGGTCCTGCTTCGGCTGCCCCGCCTTGGTTACTGGATGAGTAGAAGTTCTCAGTCTGTAGAATGAGAGGTTGGACTATTGCCAAATAATGTCCCCACCCAAAAACTATTCAACAAGCAAAAGTAGATTGTTAATCCTCCCACTTTCTGGGGATGTCCTACATAGTGAGTCACTGTGGGAGTTTATGAAATGTCTTTCTCAAAAATCTTTAAAAATAGCATTGATTCTCAATTGCCTAAGCTACTGCAGGTAGTGTCTTTCCTGATACCATGAAGCATGGAAGACCATTTTTAGGCTCTTTCCTCCACTGTTTTGGTCTAACGTGCAGGAGGACTGAAGAGAGCTCATTACAAATTTACTGATAACTGTAAATCAAACTTCCATAACTATAAATTAAGCCCTAATGATAACTGCCTATCGTTGAAGCAAAAACAAGGGCATTTTCGATTTGGGTTGCTTAGATTTTTAGAATAACGATCGTTTCGTTAAAATGCGATATATTTTTCTATTTATTCTGTTTTTCCAGTTTAAGTTTCATGCTCTTATGCTCCACTTTGCCTTTGTGACAAGAGCCTGATCTGAAAAACATCTTTAAAAAAAGCTCATTGTGATTGTGTCTGTGCCCGTGTAGAAGCTCTGCTCCTTTCGGTCACTCGCCATGAGGAATGCCTACAGCAAACCAAAGAGTGAAAAAGTGATACAGATAAGTAGACTGGGGCAGAGACAGTCCCTGTTGTAAGCAGTCATCCCAAGCCACCCCTATCTATTTATAAGGTGAAATCTATTTGCCATCCTAGTCTTAATCTATCCCAGGCTGTTACAGTTTCACTCCATTGGGGCTCTGACTGAGGATCATAAAAAATTACGGTGTAGAGACTATAGAGACCCCTTTAGTTAACATTTAAGAGATGTGGTCATGCCTCTTTTCTTCCTGTCTAACACTCTGTGAGCAGGCCAGCCCAATGGCAGTTGTACTAAATCTGCAGAGATTGCCCCATGGAAACCGGGCGTAGATGCCGAGTGACTTTTAGGCAAAGACATGGAATATTCCAAGGCTATGAACGTTTATGACTTAAGATTGGTCTTGGTGGCCTAAGGTCCATTGCTCTTCACCGTGAACTTCTTATTTCAAGATTGCACAATAGTGAGGCAGTTATTTAAAAGCAAGTTATCTTATACCATCCTTTTGTATTAGTCATTCATTGTCACATAAATTACCAAATTTAGTGGCTTAATTTACATACATTTATTATTGTGGTTTCTGTAGGTCAGGAGTCCAGGCATGGCTTATCTGGGTCCTCTGCTTAAGGTGTCAGCCAGGCTGCATTCTCATGTGGGAGTGTGACCAAGGAAGAATTCGCTTTATATCTCATGTTGGCATTGGCAGAATTCATTTCCTTGACTGAGGGCCTTGGCTTCTTACTGGCTATTGTTTGAGGCTACCCGTTGTTTCTAGAAGCTGTCTGTAGTTCCTTGTCATCTGGGCTTACCCAGTATGGTATTCACTTCATCAAGCCAGCAAGAAGTGTAGTCTGCTAGCAAGATAGTCTTTTTTGTGTTGTGAATCCTGCTCCCACATATCATAAAATTTGCCATCTTAACCATTTTTTAGTGTACGGTACAGTAGTATTACCTATATGCATATTATTATATAACTGATCTCTAGAACTTTTTCATCTTGCAAAACTGAAACTCTGTATATGCGTATTGAACAGCTCCCCACCTCCCCCTCCCTCAGCTCCTAGTAATCCCCATTCTACTTTCTGTCACTATGAGTTAAGACCGTACTTTAGGTATCTCATGTAAGTGGAATCATTGTGTCTTTTTGCGACTTACTTATTTGACTTAGCATAATGTCTTTAAGATTTACCTGTGTTGTAGCCTATGACATAAATTTAAATTCCCTTCTTTTTCAAATCTGAATTAATATTCTGTTGTATGTATATACCACATTTCTTTATCCATTCAATCACATTTAGGTTGCTTCCACCTTTTGGCTACTATGAATATTGGTGTAATGAACATAGGTGTACAAAAATTGCTGCAATATCCTGTTTTCAATTCTTTCGGATATATATCCAGAAGTGAGATTCCTGATTATATGGTAGTTATATTTTTAATTTTTTCAGGAACCTCTATACTGTTTTCCATACAGGCTGGCTATTTTATATTTCTACCAACAGAGCACAAGGGTTTCCTTTTCTCCACATCTCTACCAGCACTTCCAGCACTTATTAAAAAAAATGGAGTTTTTTTTTTTTTTTTGGGGGGGGAGCATAGTGTTCATCCTAATATGTGTGAGGCAATATCTCACCGTAATTTTGATTTGCCTGTCTCTGATGATTAGTGATGCTGAACATCTTTTCATATGCTTGTTGACTGTATGTCTTCTTTGGAAAATGTCTTTTCAAGTCCTTTACCCATTTTGTTTTTTTATTATTATTTTTATTATTTATTTATTTATTTTTAATTAAGTTTGGTGACATTGGTTTACAAAATCCAGTAAATTTTAAGTGTACAATTCAACAGTAAGTCATATATATATTGCACTGTACGTTCACTGCCCATAGTTAGATTTCTTTCTGTCACCATGTATTTGACCCCTTTTACCTCATCTACCTCCCCCCACCCTACTCCACCCACCCTGCTCTGGTAACCACTAGTCCATGACCATGTCCATTAGTCTCTGTTTGTTTGTCATGTTTATTTGTTACTTTTAGGTTTATATCCCCCATATAAGTAAGTGATATCATGTGGTTTTAAA